ACTGTCATATTCACCGGAAGAACTGAGTATTAGTAAGTTCTAATTAGTGTCTGAATCGAAACTGATAACAGTCTCCAAAAACGTTATTCAACGTTATTTCTTGAACTAAGCCCTGTCAACGTTAATTACTTTTTAAGTATTTTCCGGGTCATGTATCGCTTTCATGCAATTTCAATTTATGCGTAAACACCAAATTACATCAAGATAGCAGTAAACGAACGAGGCACATCTGTGCTAACCCCTATCTCCTGCATTTTTCTTACGATTTTAAGGGTAATCCTGCGTGAACAACGTAAGACTCAAACGTACATTGAAATATAAAACTGAACGTTGACCACTACCAATTTCCCACTGCGACGACGACAAAATTGGTAGAGTATACGACCCTCAATATTTAAACAGCACGCCCAATGGATAAAAGCACTTGTCTCGTATGCATTAATATAAATGAGTTATCTTTGTGAGTATGTACACAAAAGCATCCACAATATACGCTAAATTACATTACGTGGCAAATGGCAGGTCTTGAAGCAATTTATATGATTATCCAGCCTCTCCTTCAACCGATATTAAAAAGCTGACTGATGAACGCTCCGCTCAACGGTGGCAAAATATCCACCTGTATTTCGATCTTCGGAAGTACGTCTATTACTGCAGGGCCTATTAAAAACCAAGGTATACTTTTGCCTGAGACGTCGTGTGCATTTCATTATAAGCCCACGTACTAGGTTTCGAAGCATTAGGATATCTAACGTCTCTGATGTCTGACATTAGGATGCTGACTATTAATCGCACATTTTAACGGCAGAAAGACTTCCATTGGATCTCGTCCCTTGAAGGTATGCAAAGCACATTGAGGTCCATTAGAAAGCTTGATACGGTTTTATTTAAAACAACTTACTCATGTAATTATAAACACACATATAGTTAAAGTGGACGTTTTATGGGCACATCAGCCGCACTGAAAATTTATTTTAACAGCATGCCGTTTGGGACGTCGGCGCAAACATTTAAGCGAGGGACAATGACCCAAATATATAGTACGTGTAGAAGTTTATTGACACTTCATCTGCACCAAAAATTAAATTTGAACTTCATTCCGTTTTGGACGTCAGCGCAAACCCCTAAAAACAGGGGCCATTATTCAATTATATTTCGAATTATTGCAATAATACTTCTATAATCCTGTTTTAGCAAGTTAAATTGATCCAGTAAATTAGTGCTTTAAAGGGTCGTGGCAGTTCATTTTAAACAATAGAACTTCCACTTTAAAACAACAAAAGCAAGATTTGAAAAGTTTGCTTTTTATTAACCTTGAAAAGTTTAGCTCACTCTTTATCCACTGCAAGAGCCAGAGCAGTCGAATATAGCTGGATTTTAAAATACTGTTTATCATCACAATTTTTAGTCTCACACATGTATTTTTGGAATAAAGAACGCACCATTTCGTTTACATGAGGCCAGCTGTGGCATTTCCTCTGGAGAATACAAAAACAATGTGGATATTTGGTAAAACGGAAAAAAGGGTATCATTATCTCGTCATCTTACCTATCTTCGGACAGGAGCACTGGTCATCTATAATAACAGTCATGAAAACACCGTCAAATAATACGGTCATTTAGATACATTCTGACATCGGGTAAATTTAAATACAACACCATGCATAGCAGTGCTTGGGTAGGTAGCGACGGTAAACTGTTCAATGCAGGACAGTTCTAATAAAAATGCCACGTCTTATTTCCATTCCCACAGCATAGTGGGAAACACGGTAGAAGGTTGTATTACGTTCACAGATCTGACAAAGGAATGATTCTTGCAAATTACAGCAAGCACGATAAAACAAACATTTTACTTATACTAAGGTAAAGAGCGGTCATTAAGGAGAATTTTAATGCAATCTAGAAAACACATAATTTGATGTTGGAGTATACACTGTGAACTACGCAGATGGGATTACTAGACACTTTTCACTTGTATTACAGGCGCCCTTAATTTAATATTACCCGTTTAATCATACACTGTGTGCATTCAATACCCTTGTATTTTGGCAATAACAACTTAGACGCAATAGCCTTTTCAATCGTTGAAACCACTAACGGCTTTATCAATATCACCACAGGTGAAATACGGCGGTATCAAACAAGAAATAACACTCATAGGTGGTTTGGCAGATTTCAAATTATTTATTTTGAGCCAGTCGTGAAAACCTCGGTGCCTCGGTGGGCTTCGAACCCACGACAGCAAGGGGAGGCTATAGTACAGCCCACGCCCTAACAACCTGAGCTACGAGGCCCCACATGACGACGCGCGTTTAATCACATTTGGGTCAAGGTTACCGGCGGGGCCTCGTAGTCCAGGCGTTTAGAGAGTTGGCTGCTCTAAAACCTCCTCTTCCTGTCGTGATTTCGAATCTCACCGAGGCACCGTGTTTTTTACAGTCGGATAAAAGTGAAAAAGTAACATTTTCATTAGAAAACGTTTTCAATATTTTATCCTGCATCTGGGTGTGTCAGTCAAGCCACGATGTCAGCGTTTGAACGAGCCTCTTTTCGTTCACTTAAAAAACTGCATTTGTTATCAAATGACTAGTAGGTAGTATATCCTCTGCCCGTTGATTTTTATGAATTTGTAAGGATAGGCGTATTTCAAAAAGAGGCATAAACAATATTCTTTCCAGTGTATATTTAGTAGAAAATGACATCTTATTTAAAGTTTACATTTTAGTAAGTGAAACCGGCAAGCTGTTGAAAAACCAATTTATTTTTAATCAAAGCCCGCAGTTACATTTGTCTTTAGGGTTTTAATCAACATGCTGTAAACTTTTCGTGCAGGAAAGCCGTAAATGTATTTGCCTTAGTAATTAGAAGTCATTAAATACAGGCACAAATTAGAAGTAAATTTAGATCGTATTATGCCCTTCATAACTAACATTGATAAGCAACCAGAAACAATGCCATTTGAATGGACAATTCACTGTTCCTGATAAGTCTCGTACTTGCAAACTATGTAAACCCACGTATACCCCATCCTCAACTATAAAATCTAAAAAAGACGCAACATTATATTCGCGTGTAATTCGTACATGTATTTGAACTCAATAAATTTAGCAAAAATCGATGGGAAACTTCGTACCAATAACGTTGTCGTCATTTCCAAGTGCGGCCTTTCCTAGTGTCTCTTTCGGGGCACATTTTAAAACCCTCATTCTAATTTGTTTGAATCAGTTTTGGATTATGTTGCATGATGATTTATATTATAGATTCACGTATACGATCCATTCTTAGACAAAATACATTTGATAATTTTGATTAGTATTTCAATGAACGGACGTACAATAAAACACGAATTCAGTTTTCAGTTTTTTATATAATATCCCCTGCTTCCATATATGACATTACTCAAAAATATGCACCTACAAAACCTTCCCGTAAACATACAAGAATTATTCTCCAACTGTTACTAGGTGTTAGTAGGAGTACGTGTGTGTATTTCTTTTCGTGTGGTGTTGGTTGTTGAGCGATGTGATTAAAAGAATAAACTGATACGGTATAATCCTATTTTGATCGGGTTAACATGCTTTCATTTTTGATTGGATGTTTACTCCTTAACCGTAGCTAATATCGCTTATAGCTTTGTTGTTGTTGGATAGATTTCAATTCAAAATGAACCTAAATAAAATTCAAACGAACCCTATGATGCAGCGTGCATCTAATACGTTATAGTGGTAATTACCGAGGTTTGTGTTCTCTTTATCCGAATGCCGGATAATCGAGATATGTAAATATACGCTGGCATATGTGAATGAATATATAATAATCAGTACAGATGTTTGTTAGTTTTGTTGTTATTTCAGTCATCACAACGATCGAAGACGATAGTCTACGAAGAAGGGGCGCGTGCTAATGCCAAATGGGATAAGAACTAGGCAAAGTAAACTACAAAGAATAACTTGCTCGCTACACGTTTATACTGCATGTGCTGTGAGATAAGGGGGGGATATAAAATCTGTAATTAAACTGGCTGATCGCACTCAAGCAAATTCTTTACAGACTACCTGACCTATAGCACAGGATTTAAAGTGCACAGACATCGAATTTTTCCTAATGCAATATCAAACTCACAAAACCCGTAGACGTAAACATGAAAAGACAGATACGTGCATCTATTTGCTACTGCCGCTCATAACGTCTCTGTGTTGCCAATTACAGTGCGCTGTCTGTCTACCTCCGGAGGTTACTTATCAATATTCCACTATTAAACAGAACATATTTTTCCGTTTTATTAAAGAGCTTTGTAGATATTTTAATCACTACTTCCAATAAACAGCAATGATGAGTTTAATTAACTTAAATTTTTGGTTAAAAGGAGTTCGTTTTGAGTGTATGTCTAATTGTTAAACATGTCATGCAGTTGAAAGTTACCTTAAATACAAATACCGGTTACTGAGGTTTAACGGTACGTGCACATTTTAGATGTCATTTAATTCTCAAATACAGGAGGTCTCCTCATTCCGATGAAGGGGCATACTGCCTCCGACTCAGAGTGTACAGACTTCACATTTTCTCATGCACTTACAACTAGTTGAATTTTTAGCAGATGTTGTGGGAATGACAAAACAGATATAGACATATTATTTCGAGTTTATTGCCATTCATGACGGCATTGCTTTGCGCATAACTAGTCTGTTCGAAAATTATGTATCAGAGCTGCATTATGGAACAGGCAATTTGTACTACGTAGTTTGAATTTTCTATCTTTAGTAGGATCTGAAAACTTGAAACTATGGAGATCGCCGTGGTCTGATCCTGGTTTGAATGTTTACTTACATAAAATAGCGAATATTGTCGGTGTAATTCCTTTTTGTGGACAGGTTTGGGGTTAAAATTGTCGTAGGTAAATTCAAACAAGCAATACGATGTAGAGTACACCTGCACAGTTAAATGCAACGCGAGCTATCTGCTATGTTATGCAATAGCAATTTGTTCGTAAAACTGACTTTTTAATATGTAAATGCGTTTTGGCATATATAAGTGCACTTGTGAATAGGACTACCGTAATTCAATGGTGTCGTTGTATCCGTCTCCACAATGATCGTCGATTGCTCTCCTTTTTAAAGCACAAGAACGTAAAATAAGAAATCGAAGCAGAACTACCGGTGGAAGGAATCTTTTGTTGAATGAAGACGAATAGGCATGCGCTAGGCGACAAGAACTATGCTCTTCATGGTTTACGAAATAAGCACATGCGTACCGTATATTGTACTATAATAATACATTAATTTGGTAATTGTATATTCCGAATATTCCGTTGGTGCATCTACATATGTTCGATATGTTTAACTATCTTTAACAAGTCGTTCGCTTTGGCCGAATGTAAACTTGTTAAACATGTCTAATAACACTTTAATCTGAACGACTTAAATGCGAACGTTAAGCCAAATAGCCTTGCACCAAAACACGTTATAAGCTCGCATGACTATCATTGGCTTCCAAAGAATTCTTGCAAAATTTAAGCCTAATATATTTAGCAAATCCTGTGCCATGTCCTTACCTTAACACCCATATAAAAACGTTGTACTCAACTAATCTTTTTAAGTATATACAGTGACGTTTGTGTAGCTACCATTATCGAGTGTTGTTGCAAGCTCTTCAGTGGTCGTCATTTGTTGGGCTATGGAAAGCGAAAAATAAAACATGGCATTTAGTATGAGAAGCCTAGTTTGCCAGATAGATGCAGCTTCTATAGCTTCAGCAAGGAGTCAATTTCGTGAAAAAGATTTTATTATGTACTAAACAGACTTTGTTTTATTTCATTTGGTAGTGACGTTAGTTTCTTCATTGTGATGTCTGGTATATATTATGTTTGCGTTTTCTTAGTATTTCGGAATACAAGACCTGGTTTTACATTAAACGCAACTCCCAACACCATCAATTAACGATAGTCAATTTTTAACTTTCGTCTAATTGCACAATTTTGGCAGAACAGAACAGCAAATTTTACTTGCGTTCCAGGTGATCTTTAGTGAAATGTAGCTGTCCAGTGTATTGCAGAAGATATACTGATCAGGAAAATATTTGTTTGGAGCCCTGTTATGCACCGTTGTAGTATATGTGACGGTATCGTTGTCCTCGTGTGTTTTGACTGAAAGATAATTCCGAGTGTTACCTACGCTCTGCCTACTACAGGCGATCAGTAAATGGATTTATTTGTAAAATATAGTAAACCAGTCCACTGATAAATCATTTACCACATGTTTTTATGGTCTCGTTGTATGAACAGAAGACTCCATTCAAATCGAATATGTTAACCTGGAACACAAAAACTCATATGAATATTTCTTTTTAATTCGTTGTCAAATGCAAAGATCATTAACTGGAGCTCACGCTTTCTTTTGAATTGCACAATGATTTCCGAATTGCGCATGTTACTAATGTTTGGGAACTTTCATTGATAGTTCGAATCAGTGGTAAAGAATATTGCGGTTGAATACAACCTAAAACAGGAAACACTCCTTGCGTAACAGACTTTGGGGAAGGAATGATTTATTTTCCACATTATCAAAATAGCACTTACTTATATTGTTTACTGACCAGTTGTTCTTGGGTACAATGAATTGTGTGAGGAGTGTTGTTCGCCCCGAACGATTAAACTTCTCTACCTGCCATCCGATTCGAAAGTATTCCTCGGGTTTACAGATCTGAGCTTCCACTTCATAGTTTCTTCCATCTAAACGTTGACAAAATCGAAAGATTTCCCAAGAAAAATACATTGTTGATCGCACGTTTTAGTCTATCAGCTTGCTTCTCAGGCGTGTGTAGTATATAAAACTAATTCTAATTGAACTAATTGGCAAACGCCCTCTGATAAGCAGCTCCATACACTGACTGTGCAATGATGTATGCGCGAATGCTTCGCGAAATTACATCTGCTATTTAAATTAAGGAGTTTAAATGAAGTCTATCTGAAATCATGTTAAACCATAATGGTTCAAACAGTATGCAGTCACTGTTTACGATTTAAGGAAATATTGCCGTAAACCCGATGCTAAGAAGGAACAGAGAGCTGTAGAGTGGCGTGACAAAAAGTGCTAACCATCCGAAAATATGCTACTAGATTCATGAGAATTGCCATATCCAAAGTCATGCCTACATTTTGGCGTTGGTGGACACGCATATAATTGGTTTACCACTGAAATTACTATGGATTTCTGAGGAATGGTTGACTTATAAGAGAATGCTTTTGGTGGGCTTGCGATCTCTATACACCTCTGTTCTTTCGTGAGGCTATCAACATGGTGCTTGGGAAAACGTCTGAATCTTCGTCTGAGACAAAGCGGACACCGAGATACGTCAGACATTTACAAACTACGGCCAATGCCATTTAAATGAACTGTTTGATAGTGCTTCTGCAGGCAAGACTTTGTGGACAATTTCATGCCGAAATAATTGACGACGCATATCGGAGCATCCGTAGTAGGTGGTATTTAGTATACAAGACTTGTATATATGAGACATTGCTAGCTGTTGCTCAGTGCCATGAACAAGCTAAGTCGATGAGTTTATTTTCCTTCTGTGAACAAATGAAATCATAGGTTAGGTTTATTGGATGCTCTTACGCATAGGTTCCGTTATGAGAGGAGGCTTTCCTTAGTATTACGGAAAGTTTTAAAAAGGGTACACCCAAAGCTGCGTTTGTATAATTATACCAGGAAGATTAATCTTTTGTGTGACCACCCCTGAAAAAAAATTAGCCCAAATGTTAGTTTCAAAATGACCGGTAAGTATGTTTGGTATAAAACAGAGAGGAAACGTCTTTAGGAATCGACGATATCACATCCAGTTTGGACAAACGCTCACCCACAAAGGTTTTTTCACCTGTGCATTACAACTATCAACTCACCCAGACAAATAACAAACGTTTGCTTATGGGATTCATGTACTGGTGAGGGCAAAACCATTTGTAATAACGTTTCACCGACTAATACAAGGACGGACGCTTAAGGACAGTAACCATTTTATTAAATTGTCCTACTCAAAATGCTCCTGCGAGCCATCAGATACTGATATGTAAGATCCACCCAAACGCGATGGCAGCTGCCTGCTTGCGTTAATTGGAGGTTTTGGCAATAAAACGTTGATTTCGGAAATTAACTGAATCACGTGGTCAAAATCGCCTTACTATGATTTCGAGCCAATTCTCTGTAAATATTACCGATTCTCTTTTGGCCAGCATGTTGTGCTTCTCGTTGCATTTATAACTGGCTTTCGTTTCGACCAGATTCGTGCGATATGTCTTATTCGGTTTCCTTTAAACGTTCGTTCTCATTTCGTAAATTATAAAACGATAAATATCATATTTTGGTTAAGGTAAGAAGTAAACATAATTATAAAACAAACTGCATACCGTATTTCTGAGAATAGTTAACTTTAATTGATTCGTTGACTGTGGCCTCGCACGACAAATTATTGCAGGGAAGATGAAGGTTATTCAAGTGTATGTCCTAGAAATAAAGTATATTATTCCATCGATGGCAAATACTGATCGAATTCACTGCCCAAGAAATGTAGCAGAGCAAAACAACGTCAACAGTCCCTTGGTGCATAATCTAGCAAAATCATCTGAAGTTTGGAGATGTCCTTAAAATAGATATAGCAGTTTCTATAATTAGTCACATTTACTGAGAACCAATGTGAGAAAAACGCTTTCATAATTTGCGCTACCTGATAATTTAAAAGTATGCATTGTAAACGTAAAGGGCGGTTATGGTTGATTATTAAAACTTTTCTCGAAAAAGTATAAACACACACTTTCAGGTACTAACGATTAATATAGGACATATGTTTATGAATGCCCTACCGTAAGCTGCTCTGGAAGGCTCACGCGCACCCATGTGCATGAGTCCAATGAGGTGACAACGTTATCTTCAAGTCCGTCTGATAATGGCAGATCCTCTTCTTGCGCAAAACCTACAGACAAACAAGGAAATTCTGCCTGTTAATATGCAATTTACTACAAATAATATTGCAAATGTTTGTGTTATTTATGTGTGAAAATAAACTGAACGAATCCTTCATTCTAGAAGTTTTCTCATAATTCTTAGGATGCAAGGATGTGCAGCAGATAAAAGTAATTCTATACATTGATAGTTAAACACTAGACGCACTATAATTCGACTTGTATATTAACTTGGAAGCGGCCTATTCTGGTCAATTTTAAGTCCTTAATCCATCACACCCATCCCAGGTTATTTGTAATGCATATCTTATTTTAAAATTTGCCTCTTCTATCTTGTTTGTTTCATGAAAGCCTGCAAAGTACAAGACATACCAATCACGCAATTCATAAAAAATATGAGGGCGATGATTTTCATTTTGTAGAAATGTTAGACGCTGCAGAAGTATTAGACGGTGTCTGTCCTGCCTATATATTTATTTCGCAAAATTCACACTCAATTGTGTAGACATTAAGGTGGCTGTCAGTTTGATTTGGATAGGCTATTCCGCCTTTGCAAAGAATTGCGTCAGCTGTAATAGAGCCCTGATTCGCGTGCATTCTGAAAAGATTTCCTTTGACGCCAATAGTTACCGATCTGGATGAAGGCCAAATATGAGCGTAAACTACCTTCTCAGCTTCGCCATAGTTGGAGAACAAGTCGCCGTGTGTGCGGTTTAGGGTTATTTTTTTTGAAATCAGCAATCGTAATTATGATAGAAGGACGAGTGCGCTGTGGGTTGCAAACATCTCCAAATCAAAACTAGAATATTTAACGATCTGCATATGTCTGTTCGAATTTAGCACCTTCAGACTTGTATAAAAATAGTTCCGCGAATTCATCTGAATGTATGCAATCCAGGTACTACGAATAAACCTGTGCAGATAATTCAGCATTTGTAACGCATTCATTTCCCACACGTGGCTTTCCTTATCTGATTAAAATAATTTCAGCGAAACAGCAAACGTTCCTGATTGTAACCACTCTTCTTCGGAGATAATGCTCTTTTTACCTCCATCTGCAAGAAAATTCTTTAGAAGAGGAAGCCCATCAAGATGCGCAAAAGCTGTGAAAACGGGTAAACCATCGTGCGCATTTAATACTTTACGTGCTTTTTTAATTGTTGTTAAATAATGCAAAATCGTGTCTTAAAACAGCGGATTTTAGATAGGGATAGGTGCTGTTGTACGAAAGGATGTTTTTAATTCTCCAGATATTTATAGGTGGACATCAAATAAATTATTTGAAATAAGATTTTTGAGCTCCGGTGGAAAATAAACAGGTCACTCTTGAAGGCTGAGATTTTAAGGAATCACTCAAGGCCTGTATTTTTTCCGTCAAGACTTAACGTTCAGCACTGTTGTTTGGGTGTGCGGTACAACGATGTTTACGTCAAGGTAAGTCGCTTCTGGTGCAGTGTGGCGAAAACAAATGAAAAAATGAGACTTTTAGTACATTCAATTTGCTATCTGCACTCTCTCATTGGTCGGATCTGTGATGACAAACGGAAACTAAACCTCGACTCACAGAATATGTTTTCGCCTATATCACCCGAATCAGCTGAGTTTGGACCATGTTTTCATGGAACCTTTGGTGATGCTGTTTTTCTGCCCTAGAGTCGCTGGAAGAAATTGGCAATTGTGCTAAACGCCTAAGCAGAGATGTCTGTCAGAGTAGACGTAATCACACTTTCGCCCTCCGCTAAAAAATGGCACTTAGGGTACGCAAAATGCTTTCACGATTTTTTGGTGTTCGATAAAAATACCTCACTTCTTCAGTGAGAGTTTCTTATTAGTTGTATCTTAAGAGAAATCACTTGTAAGCACACCAGCCGGAGTCTTGCCTGAAAGAGAAGCTAGTTAGAACTCGGTGAGATCTGTATCGGGGCTTCAAAATTCAAACAAAATACCAGTGTCGATGAGGTCCAGTAACCGTGCAATTAAAATGCACGAAAATTATATTACTAACCCACGTCCCTCATTCGCATGTACAGTAAGTGTGGTAAGTCATGAAACGTTAACCGGAATTATGAAATGCGTTTTCGTTTCGAAAAGATGAATTAAGAAGTGTCGTAAAACTAATCATCACGCAGAATAATTCTATAGCCATCCGGCTATATGAGAATGCCGGCATTCAAACGAACTTCTTTTCGGCTGCCAGCAGAAACTATACTTTGTAAAAAGACTGCTTAAGTAACATGTATTTCACCCATTGATTTTCAATGCTCTTAAAAATTCAATTATATTTCATCGAAAACATACATGAAATACGCGTCCGTTCGCTCATTCGGTAGAAATTTACGTCTTCTAATTTCGTACGCCTAAAATGGTATAATTAGTTTGCTAATGCCTTTTCTTATTTCTGGATTATTTTAAACCCGACCTTCCCTTATATCTGTATTCTGGGGTTCCAGAATACAAGCAATGTATTTTCCGCGTACGGAAAGCCACGAATTTTTTCTACGGTATTTCAAATAGACTTTATGTGTTTCATAAAATTTTGCAGTGGATTCGAGCCATTTTACTAACTTTACAAGCCGCATTAGATAATGAAGATATATGAGACTTTATGAACGGCCGCTTCACGGTACTGTTAGTGACTGTAGTGTAATGAGGCCTTCTCTCTCTCGGAAGAACCACGGTCCGTTTATATGGACTATTGCGAAGACTATCTGCAGTACTTTCGCGGGATTATAGAGCGTCTAGTATAATTATTATTTCATTATTTTCGATTGGTTTTTACAGTGGAGTCCTCAAAGGACATTTAGGAGTTTCAAATGCGTCATGATAACGTCGTCTTTAAAGCATTTGCCCTTTCGTCGAAGAAGTAAGACTCATCCTCAGTAAAATTAAACCTAACCTGTCTTTTCGACCCGACTGAATCCCTGGACTGGTAATAAAGGAACTATCAACGGAGCTGGCAAAGCCTCTCGCAACAGGCAGACTGACCTCGTTGCAGGATGACAGCAAGCATCTTCAGGTCCCTTAGCTTGACTCGCTTCTCATGGAAGTCCTAGTATAGGAAGTTAGACAACAATTTTGTGGAGAAAACAGCATGCTACAGGATTTTCAGCAGGAGTATTTTAAAGTACGTTTGCGCCCCACAAGTCTGCTAAAATGTCTGGAGGACTGGGCCAGAGCATTAGACGAGGGCTTCGATGTCGCGTACATCGATTTTCGCGAAGCACTTGGCACTGTCTCACACCAACCTCTTATTCATATAGTAAGCGGCCTCGGCATCCGGGAAGATCTTCTGAACTGGGTAAGAACGTTTCTGGTTGGTCGAAAACAGTACGTCCATATGGGTGATGATATGTCAGACTGGGTGAAAGTGACTACAGGTAGGACTCAAGGCTCAGTTCTGGGATACTTGCTCCTCATCCTTTATGTTAATTAAAGTTAAAAGGGAATCGAATGCTATAAAATAATGTTTGTCGACGGCGCTAAGCTCAAGCAAATTATTAAGAGTCCAACTGACCCATAGAGCCCTTCAAAATCACCTGCATTGATTGCATGCGTGGCGCGACTAATGGTTTCTAGATTCCAATGTGCGGAAGTAGGCATTCTTCATCTGCGTCCAACCAACTGTAATTTAAATGGGATCTCGAGGACTTGCCACCTGAAAGACATTACACTTCCCGCAGAAACTTTGTAGAAGGATCCAGTGTTTGGATACAGAGCAACATGAAGCCAACACCGCAGTACGACAACGCTGCAAAAAATGCCATGGGAGTGCTCCATGCAATCAAAAGTGCTTACGTAAGCCTTGGCAAAGACGTTTTGGGAGAGCTCACGGCACCCTTGTTCGGCCCCATTTAGAATATGGCTTACAAACGTGACGGCCATGGCATTTAAGGAACTAAACATGCCTCGAAATAGTACAACGTCGTGTAAGAAAGCTGGTGAACGGTTTGAAAAGCCAATTCTAAATAGGAAGAGTGAATTGATCTAATTTTTTCACTCTGTGTTACAGATAACAAAGAGGTGATCTTGTCCTAGTTTACAAGATAATAACTGACCTTGAAAATGAACTTTGAGGACATGTTTTAGTGGCACCTTTCACCTCATTTTCGTGGTCACTCAATGAACGTACGCTCAAAAATGGCTAGGCTGAATCTTCGTTCCGAAGTTTTCGCCCAAAGTTTAGTGGGGAGATGAAACTATTTCCCTCAGACAGTCCTGGAAGCGTGTATATGCACTTATTCAAGAAACGCATGAATGAATACTTGCGTACCCGGTTAACCCTCGAGAGTCTGAACCTGAACTAGATACTCGTATACCTAGGAAACTTAACTTTTGAAGTCGATGCGGCCTAAATAATACAAGTAGTAATACATTAGTGACATTTTCCATCGTGCCTGCACAGCTGTGTTCAACGGACTTGTACGTAAGTAATTGGGCTTCCAAAGGCATTCACAGCCATCTCTACCGAAGAACCGAAATGAACTGAAAAATTTAGGTTAGTTAACTTGCTTTATAAGCGGCGAACTTCCTTAAATAGCGGTAATTTGCTGTAAACATCAAGACTTAAACCTGAGTCACAAGCACCTGAAAACGTCGCCGCTATGTTCTTCGTTTGATGACGACGACGACAACGACGATTAATAAAGATAAAAATAATATTGATGATGATGATGATGAGATGACATTAACCAATCATAGAAATCCCTTGTCAGACTCGGTCTAGAAGTTAATTGTTATGCCCGTCCGTTGTCTGAAGACGAGCTGGGGAAACAGTCTCGAAAACATGCACAATAAAGTTTACTGTTTCCCAAAGAATTCCATCTTGCTAATATGCAATTACCGTGAGTGAGCGATCTCATGAAATGTTGGGTAAAATTCTGAAATGCGTTTTCGATAAGGAAGGATTACTTGGTCGCGGTTGTAATGCTGATTATCTTGCGGCATAAACATATAGCATTTTGGACTCGGCAGGATGTCAGCTTTTGAATACACTGCTTTTTAATCTCCTGTAGAAACCGTACTCGGAAAAAAAACGACTAGTTAATTAACATGCATTTTTCCTATTTATTTTCTATGACCTTGCAAATTCAAATATACACTATAGAAACCATAAATAAAAAGTATGCTTTTTTCAGTCAATTAACAGTGAATCACGTACACTTTATATTTTATACTCAATGAAGGAGTATAATTAGGCTTTGAAAAAGTTTCTAGTTATGAGATTTTTTAAGACCGCGCAGTGTCCATTCACATACCCTCGTGCCGGGCCGGTTATCACAGCTCCTCATGAAATGTAAAACATAGTCCGCATCCATTACACAATTTTATGGACTCTATATAATATCCTTTTAATGGCATATATAAATATTTAATTTTCTTTATGCGGAAAGCGTGTACCTTGTAAATTAAAATCAC